TTTGAGGTAATTTCATTTCAAGCTATCAATTTGTCTTCAATTAAAATTAAAGTTTTATTGTAAATTAAACCTTTAAATTTAACATCTGGATATACCAATTTGTCTTTGATAATCAGAAATCATTAACTAAAAAATGTGTATGATTCAACCACAAGTTAACCAATAATTTTATCTTAGATCCGTTTGATGTTCTTTCAGGAGTTCCGCGAGGTTCACACCTAGCTCCCTTGTTATTTATTCTGTTAATTAATGATTTAAATTTTCTGAATTCGTGTAAACTTTTATTCACTCATGATATGAAACTATTTCGGTTAGTTAAATCCTTATCTGATTCTATTCTCTTGCAATGTGACTTAAATACCCTATCAATATGGTGTAAACAAAACAGTTTATTGTTAAACATTGATAAATGTAAAAGTATGTATTTTTCTAGGTCCCATACTCCAGTATTCTACAATTATTATTTAAATGATACTTTACTTCATCGTGTATTTAAAAATATTGATTTAGGTGTTACGTTTGACACAACTTTATCTTTTAATAGTCATTATTTAAGTATCTCAAAAAAAATATCATCTATTCTTGGATTTATTTCTAGGATATGTAAGGATTTTTCAAATCCCTTTGCATTAAAAACAATTTATTTTTCCTTAGTATGCTCTACTCTTGGATATAATTCTATTATCTGGTCTCTTTCTACAAATATGCATATACAATATCTCGGAGCAATACAAAATCACTTTCCTCATTTAATATCCTACAAATGTGGTATTCCACAGATACCATATTTACTATATAAGCCATTATTAAACACATTAAATATGAGCAACCTTATTATCCACGGAAACATACTTGATTTGAAATTCCTATTTAGATTGTTAAATGGTTTCATAGATTGTCCAGAATTGCTTAGTTTTATAAATTTGTATGTCCCTCAACGACTAACTAGGTCTAATTATACTTTTCACGATCACTTACACCGATATAACTATATCATAAAAGCTCCTTTAAAAAGATCTACTCGATTAGCTAATAATGCTCAAGTTGATTTTTTTAATTTCAACTCTATTTAGTCTTTCTTTAATTATTTAATTAGATATTATCAGTAACTACAATTTTGTTTTATTATACTTATTAATTTATAGTATATTATTATTTTTCTACTATTTTCCTTATGAATTACTTGTTACTCTATTTTTTATTATAATTATATATTAAGCTCACCTATTTATCACTCATATTTAGAACATGTATTAGGCTTGGTCCGTTTAAATTATAATAAACAAATAAGTTTGATGGGTCAGTTAACAATGTATTTACATAATTTTATTTTTCATGACATGTTTAATAATGATGCTTCTTGTAATAGGTATCCTAAAAATAGAGCGAACGCAAATGCACGAAATCAAAAGAGAAAAAACAAAATGAGTAAATACAATTATGAGCGAAAACTTGTAGAGCGAAAAGTCCATAATTTTAAGTTTTGGACAAACATTTCATGATTTTTTTTCAGCTTTCGTCTACTAAATATTGTACACTCGTTGAAGATATAAAATACTTCTATTATAGTATGTAAACATTTTAAGAATTTTTTTCTAAGCGAGATATTTTAGGATCCAATTGGCAATTCGAAATTACGAATGGGATTACGGGCAGTATAATACATACAACAGAAATGTATTAAATGCTTCCAAAGACAACAGAATTCAGAGGAAATTAAATATAAGTAGTTTTGATTTTGAATGAATAATAAAAAATAAAAGTAAAGGAATTCAAAAATAATAAATGCGTACGGCAAAAATAATAATTTTTATCGTATATTTTAATTTTAATTTTTATATATTTTCTATAATTTTTTATTCGTTATTTTCTATTCAATATTTTATATTCTATTTTTTATTTTTGCTATTTTGGAAGTAAACCCTTGTAATGTATTATCATTTATCATAATGCCAATAATCATAATTTGCAAGCAGATTAAAATTTATAATAAATTACGCTATTGATAGAATTCAAACTTAAAAAGCTATCCTAGCATATAAATATGGACGGGTACAGCCACTGTTATTAGTGAGAAGTTGGAAGGTAGTAGAGGGGAATTTAATGTATATCCGTAAGCAATGATAAACCATTACTAATTAAAAAACGAGTCTAAGCGGAGTTCGGTGGCTAGTATTGCTTTGTCTACAATATGTATGTCATATCATGTTCCCAGTTTCCTTATTTATTTGGAAAATCAAAAACTGACCTCTTCAAAGTACCACCCCAATCAGTCCTCTCCTTTCGAAAAAAGTGTTATCATTGTTAATCGAAGCAAAATTGCTGGTAGACAATTTGTTCATAGAAAAAAAATAAACATCATTGTAAAACACATATCTCGCTCCACTCAGAATCTAAAATTATGTGGGTCTTTTAATATGATGAAGCAGTAAACGGAGATGAAAACATTCAGTATTATTAGGGTGCATTGTGTAAATTTAACCAATAACATCAGAAGCCTTCTTAATACATGAATATCCTAAAACAGATAATCCACGGAATCGCCTTTTGAAACTCAGGTTATTACCATTCTATGTACAATATTTTTTGATTTGATTATATTATTATTATTGATATTAAATTTTAAAATTTTAAACTCTTTCCGAGTACGATTACTATTATATTATATAATAGTTATTTTAAAAACGCTCGAAAACACCCGTATTCACCCCAAAGTTAAGAACAATGCTATTTATTATTGTTTGACCAAACCCGTAGCCAGACCAAATCATCAGGTGGGGCAAACCAAATTTTAGAGGGACCTACTAAACCATAACTTACCACTACATGTATACATGTATACATTAATTGTTGGATGAGACAACGATTAGGTCCAGTGGGGGGGATTCCCTTTTACTCACGGTGGCTACGGGCTTGTGTGTGACGTACCAAAAATACTAACAATAATAGATAATATAAAAATAAACGGCGTAGTAAAGTTATCCGAAAACGATAAAAACCCGAACTCGGTCCCACATCGATATAAAGAACGCGAGAAAAAAAAAGGGGGGAAATAGTTGGCGTTTAATCGGGAATCGAACCGGTGATCAGTCGACCCGTAGTGATTCCTAACCTAACGTCTAACCAGTCGAGCTTTCTAAATATCGCTGAAAAATGGTATCGTTTTAATGATATATGAGTATAAAAATGAAAATAATACGATTGTTATTATTCCCAATAGGGATTCCCGTCGGCCGGATCGACAAAATAATAATAATAAAATAGATAAAAAAATATTCCTCGGAAACAACCATACGGAAAACGATTAAACGCGCAAGAACAACGCTTATGGAAATCTCAGTCAGAAAGAGAGGTCCCTTCATCTGCAACCTCGAGTTAGAGTCTTATATTATAGATATGTATTTATAACTTTCATTTGGTATAAAAATATTGGCGACCTCTTGTTAAAATTTCGCTACCCACTTAGGAATCACGACCTCCAGGTTGCGTACCACTAATCTAGACTGTCCTCTAGATCTCTTAGTATTTGATTTCCATTTATTTATTTATCCGATTAGTCTTTTTGATCTCTAAACTTAATTTCATACTTAATAGTTATTAAGGTAATTCTTGTTTCACCATAGAGGTCTCCCAATTATTCATTGTTTCGTATTTCATATTCTCCGTCGTTGTTTCTCTTTGGAACGAATATTATTCTCAATACCTTTCTCTAAATTACTTCTAGCTTTCTTCCAACATATTTTGCCATGGCCCATGTGCTACATACGTAAAGAATAAAGACCCACCGGTGTGATTAAAGCCTAAGTGTTAAAAAAGTAAATAATTTTAGGATAAAAATTTAAAAACTGTTTTATAATAAACGAAATCATAGGTAGGTTACCCTGGCACCCCAATATCTAAATTTTTAATTTTTTTTTTGTGCCATTAATTGTACTATAACTTGTACCAATTTTTATCACCAAGTTCAGAATTTGTACCTAAATATTTCCAAGAGAAATATAAACTTATTACGATTTATTAGTATTATTTATATGTATATCTAATAATGGACTTTCCCAGGTGAATATTATCTCTTTTAATAATTGTTTAATCAATAAAAACTTATTCAGGTTATATCATATTTTTATCATTGTACTATAATATGTTATAATAGTATAATACAAGAACTTTCCCAAAGAATCTTCTGGAATTATCAACCTAATAAAATATCACAAGATTACATAATTGTGCATAATATTGTGGGAACCAATTCGAGCAGTTGAAAGATGAATAAGTAATTTTTATCGGGAACGTATTGCCCATATTTTCCACGGAGTCTTTCTATTGTAGAATATAGGCCAACCGATTTTCTAAGAACCTTTCGTGTTTTTCGTTTCTTTGTAAACGTTTTTGTTCTCGTTTTTTAAATAGTTACGCGAACGGGAAATATATAGATACAAATTGGATTTAGCGGTACAAATTGATACAAACCATAGTACAATATTAGTGGTAACAAAAACATACAAAATCTAGATATTGGGGTCCAAGGGTAACCCACCTGAAAATCATAATGACTTAAAATTCTTCGAAAATATCGCTGGTTTATAAACGGATCACTCTGTATATAGTCGTACAACTCGTCTGTGATTATTATCAAACGCCACCACCACCATCACGCATACACCGCACACACACGTTAGTTTGTAATATTATGTTATGACTTATGTGATGCTGTGTATTACAGAAAACTTACGACACGAATAATATTATATACCTAACAATATTGATACTTACGTACGTAATAATAACAAACAACGTCGTCGTGTCACAGTGGAATCGGATATGACAAACACAATAATATTGTATTAATAACTCTGAGTCACGTTATTATTAATCGATGAAGATGTACAATGTTCATGTACAATTATATGGCCAAATCCGAATTATAGCCATTAAAAAAAAAAAAAAAATACCCAGATCGCAACAATCTCCTGAATTCAAATAAAAGAGCTGCATCTAGTATGATAAAAAGAGTGACTATATCTGATAAAGCTCTTGAAGCATCATTTAAAGTCGCAGAACTGATTTCTAAAAATATGAACTCTCATGTTATTGGCGAAAAATTAATAGGACCTGCCTGTTTAGCTATGGTTGAAACAATGTTAGGAAAAGAATCTAAAGATGTTATATCCAAAGTGCCACTTTCCAACAATACTATTAGCCGCCGAATAAATGAAATGGCTGATGATATTAATGACATTGTTTTAGAAAAAAATTAAAAATCAAAAATTATTTTCATTACAAATAGACAGAGTACTGACAGAACTTCTAAAGCTCAATTACTAGGTTTTTACAGATTTGTTGATAATTCTAATATTGTTGAGCAGTTTTTATCTTGTAAAGAATTAAAGTCAACAACAACAGGGAAGAACATATTTGACGAAGTAAATATTTTTTTTGAAAAATCTGGATTGTCATGGAATTATTGTTGTGGTGTTTGCACTAATGGAGCTCCGTCTATGACCAGGAAATATAAAGGTTTTGTTACTCTCGCTAAAATTAAAAATCCAGCTATGATTATAACACACTGTTTTATTTATCAAGAAGCTCAAAAACATTAGGAGAAAAAATGTTAAAAGTCTTAAATGATGTTATTAAAATTGTGAATTACATTAAATTTCGGCCATTGAAAACAAGGATTTTTGAAATTATTTGTAAGGAAATGGGTTCAGATCATATACATGTATTGCTATACACAGAAGTAAGGTGGCTATCACGAGGTTAAGTGTTATTGAATTGAAAGAAGAATTAGAATTATTTTTTGAAAAAGAAAATCTCCCAGTATACAAACATTTTTTTCGAAATGAAAACTGGTGTTATATTTTGGCATACTTGGCTGATATATTTAAAAAACTAAATGATCTTAATGCATAAATGCAAGGACGTCAGGAAACAATAATTTCTTCGAAGAATAAAATCAGAGGGTTCAAGAACAAAATTGTATTTTGGAAATCTTCAATAATTAAAAGGAATTTTTCAAATTTTCCAACATTTTCAAAATTAACGATGGGGAAATCCAATATTAAAGAACTACAACAACTTATAATTGAACATCTTATATTACTCGAAGAAAAAATTAAATATTATTCTCTATCATTGACAACATCTGCATATTGGGTCGTGTTGCCATTTGATTTTATAGACTATGTGAATGAACTTGATCTTACTAATGACGAATAGAATGAATTCATTGATATGTGTTCTAGTTCTTCTATCCGAATATTATTTGATAGTCAGAAAAATAACATAGATTCCTTCTAGTTAAATTTAGCTTCAGAATATCCAGCTATTTCTCAGAAAGCGATACTATTGTTATTACCGTTTTCCACATCATATCTTTGTGAACAGGCATTTTCTGCTCCGAACAATATAAAAACGAGTAGTAAAAATCGTTTGAAAAATGTTAAACCTAATTTGTGTCTTATGGAATTATGTAAAAAATACCAGTCTCAAATATCACATTAAATTTGAATCATTAAAATATTAAATAAAAACAATTTATTATATATCAATATGGTATTATGTATATTCATTATTATTTATTTGTGTGCCGTGAAAATTGTTGAAATGATCAAATGCGCCGTTAGGTAAAAAAGGTTGGGAATCCCTGATCTAGACCATAGGGCATAAACTGCAGAGTTAATATACAGAGAAGCCGTTCCGTCTGAACGTTGATGTTATAGATAATACACCTATGTACATGTATATATTATCTATGGTTAATGCACAGTTAGTCATAGATAGTAAAAATACGGATAGGTTATCCATACCTTATCAATGTTTCAAGAGGAACGGGTACAGTTACTCAAAATTTCATAAAGTGAGGTGTTTTATTTATATAGTGATGATTAATGAATGATAAATCTTGTCCAAAAATGGGATCTCGTTTCATAATCATTTTACCATAATATGACATATATATTGTTGACAAAGCATCCCTATCAACTAACCTCCGCTCAAAATTGTTTTTTCGTAAGAAATGGTTTATCTTTGCTTACAGATACAATATATTAAATATCAGTCTGTATCCTACCTTCCCAACATCCCACCTACAACAGTGGCCAACCCCACGTGAGAAGTATGTCCGTCCTTTTTATTTACATATTAACAACAAACAAAACTATTAGATTTCAAATAGTTACCTGCTTTATGATGTATATTGTTTTTAAATTTAACATATTTTAAAACTTACAAACGAACTGGTTTGTAATTTGTATTTACATAGTAACAATAAGTTGTTACTACCAACTAACAAGAGCCTGTTAGATTAAAAATAGTGACTACTTTGTGATACATTATATTTTCAAGTTACATTTTAATATTTTATAAGAAGACATTCATTTTTATTCAAATTGTACCAAGTGTAACATCAAAGTACCCAACAATTAATGGTTTCTGAAAGTTTTTGTGATTATTATTTTTTTAAATTTGTATTAAATAACTAAATAGAAATAAAAATATATAGTTACCTACATTTAATAACTACATTATAAATAAAACGTATTTATCAGTTATAAATAATTCTAGTTGTGACTTGTGATCTTGTGTTAAAACTAGATGTGATGAAATTAATAATAAGTTACTAGTAATAACTACTCATAAAAAAAGTTAAAACTATGAAAATGACTCAAAATAAATAAATAAATAAATAAACAAAAAAATTAAAAAATCAATAATTGTAGAAAACAATTTATATACTTAACGACTCAACGTTTATACTGAAGTAAAAATATAACATTTTTAATAATAAGTAAAAAAATGCACATTTATTACTAAAATAAATTTATTTGTATTTTAGATTTCCTATATTATATTCAATAGAAAAATAGGTACCAAAATAATACTAAAATAAATAAATGGTAATAACTACAAGTACACAGTTTTAAATTTAACTATAAAGGTAATAAATACTTTAACGTCTATAACTATATAATATCAAGTGATTTATTTTATAAGAAATTAAATAATGTATTTAAATAAGAATCTATCACGTATTAGCGAAGTTATATTCTTTTTTTTTTTAACATGAACGCAACATAATAAACCACAACGCGTTGTACATAAAACGTCAAAAAAAGATACTGATGAAATAAAATAAGAATATATATTTTAGAGACTTCAGTAGGTATGTTTTAATAACAATAATTTATTATAATATTTATCAAAATGAAACAATTCCATAACAATACATATCGCATTATGTGCATAATTATATTGTTAATTTTTTTATCTAAAATGGTTGGGAAAAAGTATTGGGTATTTTTTTGTTTACTCTCTAGAATAAAATTTTACACTATCAATGGAGCTATTATTAGTTTTTTTTGTCTTTAGAAAAGAAATATGTTAAAAATAATTTTGATTAATATCACACGTAAAACGAATACGAAACGAATTATACTTCGTAAAACGAAGTATAATAATAAATAGAATAGGTAATAATAGTTAAATAAAAAATTCGAGGAAAACACCCATAATTATGGTGTATATGCATTTTATAAAAATAAAGGCACTATTTAATTATATCATAATATATTTACCGTAAAAATATATATTATCACACATGTTCCTCTGAGTAATTTATAAAACCGTGCTAGAACTTTTTTATTCCACAGTTTATACTTGTCCCTGCACACTAACGCACACTAGAGGACTCTGGAAAAGCACCTGCAGCTACCCCAGGGACCAAAATTTTAGGCGGGTAGTGATAGTGACCTAAAAAAAAAAACTTGTATTATACGCTCATTTACGAATTTGAGCTACAATTATTATGATTTTTTAAGCATAAAACTAATCATATTCAACAATTCAAAAAGCCGATAATTTCGCTCGCAAAGAACTATTATGCACGGTTTTTATATAGTTCATTCACAAATTCGGAAACTATACAAAAATAACTTTTTTTTACTCAGTTTTATACATTTTTATTTATGTGCGTAAACCTATGTATTAAAAATTATTTAATATGTCAGATTTAACTTAAATTGTTTAAAATAACTTTTTTTTTACTCAAATTAAAGCTTGTAAATTATAAAAACATTAACTCATACCAACGCCCAACAAAAAACCAACATAATTTGATATGAAATCCATCACCAAATACTGAATATAAAAAATCGAATTATAAAATATATTCAAAAATGTTTGATTTTTCTTTTTGAAAATATTTTAAATAATATGTGTAACAAAAATAAAATCCCAGGGAGGAATTATTGATAAGTTCATATGGTTTTACAATAGTAACTGTCTTGTAGAGTGTCATATAGTTGCGTATAGTTGTCATATATGTAGCGGTAGTAACAATTCGAATATTTCATTAAACAAAAAACTTCAATAACCATATAAATAATTTGTTACACACTTCTAACTTAATATTTAGATAATTGATAAGTGTCAAGTCATATAGTAAAAAATATCATACAAAATACAGATTTCATGCCATGCACAGACTATATGCATATATTATTTTTATTTTAAAAAAATTCTCGCGTATTTGTACTGTTTTTACAGAGTATACGTTAATTCACCAGATGATAAATGGGTAGAGGTGTACGCCGTAAACCTCCATATACCCTCAAAAACACCGATGCCTAAAACATGTACTCAACCAAAATAACGAATTTCTGGTTCAATGGCATACATTCAAAATTAAATTGATATAACGAGTATAATATTATGCTCAACTCCAAATCACTTCAAATAGCACTAAATTAGAATTCACATTAATTATTATTAATTTATATTTTATACGTTTTCTTTGTGACATCTAACATGATTTATAAGAATTTTTAGACTTACGCGACAGCGAGTCTAAAATTGTGGGGTAACAGCTGTCATCCCAAAACCCTCCAGTGTACGCTACTGTGCCCTGAGATTTATATTATCTTATAATAACTTAAGGGAAAATAATATTATGATGAAAGTGTGTTATAGCCGTTGTAGATATCATCAATAATTTGATTGAAATAAGATTTCTGATATAAGAGTTTTTTACAGACATAAAAAAAATACTGACATACATCGCAAGATGGCCACTTCTATAGGTGAGAAGTCGGTAAGGTAGGATATAGAGGGGAATTTAATGTATAATTGTACGCAACGATTAGACATTTCTAACAAAAAATGATGCTGAGTGAAGTTTGGTTAAACATGTTTTAAAAGGCCGTAATATTTAAGATTTTTGTCAAAATTTGATATAAAAATTCTCACAAAAATAAATTCT